GCTCCAGTCTACCATTTATTCAGAAAATGGTAAAGAAAAGATCATTAAGACCAGTAGTAACAAGGGAATTAACTTCAAATTCATTCCACCAAGAGCTCCTCATTTTGGAGGACTCTGGGAAGCTGCCGTCAAGTCAGCTAAACATTTAATGATTAAAGGAATTTTCAACGCTTCATTGACTTATGAAAAATTGACAACAGTCATAGCTGAAATAGAAGCCATGTTAAATTCAAGGCCAATAACAAAAATGTCATCCGATCCAAATGATCTAACAGCGCTTACACCAGGACACTTTCTCATAGGCGAACCACCTACCACTAATGTGGATCCCTATCAAAAGGAGAGCCGAATGAGTTTATCATCACGATGGCGTCTAGTTTCTGAACTCAAACAAGAATTCTGGAGAAGATGGTCAAAGGAATATCTCAATGAACTCCAATCAAGGTACAAATGGAAACAACAAAAGGCAAATCTATGCCAAGGTAATTTAGTCATTATTAAAGATGATAATCTACCCATGTACAAATGGCCTCTTGGCAGGGTGCAACAGGTATATGAAGGAGAAGATGGCTTGGTCCGTGTAGCTGACATAAAAACAGCCAATGGGATTTTTAAACGACCATTACGATCATTGGCCCCCTACCCACTGAAGACAGCATTAATCAAAATCCAACAAAACAAAATTCTACTGTCACACAAACAAGACGAACGAATGAACCTAGTGAAGCGTTGCCAAAGCGTCGAAAGATATATGATGGCACATCTTTAATGATGACCATACTTGTGACAATATTGATGATGCCATTAATACTTTCGAAACCCATTGAAGAAATATCATTTCCAAACAAACCCGGAATATATTTTGAAGGAATTGGCACCGTAAATCAAATCATTGGAAGATGGAAAATTATCACTTACTTTGAGTTCGCGCCTATTCGAAAGGAGATCGAAAGGTTTCAAAATGGCACAGCAGCACTTCAGCAATTGTGCCCATTGTTACAGCAACAAGAAAGCTGTTATGAGCTCGTCCGCCAATTCAATAATACTAACATAGAATTATGAACTGAAACGAAGGTTATGACGAGACACCGATCAGCCAGAGGAGCCATCAATATAGTTGGAAATATTGCTAACAAATTATTTGGTGTTTTAGATTCAGAATATGCTGAAAGGATTTCTAAAACTCTAACTCAAATCAGCAATAATGAAGATGTACTATCAAAAATGATCAAAAATTAGACTACAGTCATGGACTCAACGCTAAATATATTCAGAAAAACTACAGAAGCCATTGCAGTTAAAATGAATCAACTACAAGATGAGACAAACAAAATAGTAGATTACACTAATCATAATACTAAACGTATTAACCACCTAGAGATCTATACATCACTGGTAACCCAACTTACATGGATGGCACACACATTAATAAAAATTGAAGCTGCGATATTTGATGTCTTAACTGATACTCAGCATGGCAGAATTAATTCTCTTTTGATGTCTCCACAACAACTTCAAGACCAAATCATGAAGATCAAGGGCCATTTACCTCATTCACTTCGTCTTCCATTTAATCAAGAGGACGTTATTCATTTATACACGTTGATGTCTTCACAAAGTGGAATCACACAAGATCATTTGATAGTTGTCTTACAACTGCCATTAACCGATCATGAGGATTTCGATTTATTCAATCTCGTCCCAATTCCTGCAACAGTCAACAATACAATGATGACAATAGTTCCAGAAGCTTCATTTTTAGCTGCCACGCCGCATAGAGACCAATATTTTGCCTTAACTCGTGAACAGTATAAGGAGTGTATGACTTTCAAGCAACCAGAAAACAAACTACTCTGTTCGGATAAACAATCAAAATATAACATTTAACCTATTAAAAAACATATCTGACAATAGGTGTAATGTGCAGGAAACAAAATCGAACATTATTTGGAGTCCCCTGTATCATACGAACCAATGAATATTCGGGTCAAAAAACAATACAACAGTTACGGCCGTCTGTAAGGGCATCACGACTCATTTAGAACTACAAGGTGCAACACTTCTGAAATTACAAGACGACTGTGTACTCAAACACCAAACGTCTACAATTCAGACACATCAAACGCTTACCGACACCATGTATGAATCTTACATTGCATTTGGTGAGATACCTGTCATTAATAACTCAGAATTATGGTCAAATTTTAAAGGAAGTTCATTGAATCTCAGCAATGAACTTAAACAGTTAAAGCTACTTCACAATATTCTGAAAGATGAAAAATTCGCTGAATTACCACACAAACTACAGACGGACAGCATGCACCACTACGCAATTAATTCCACAACCCTAATTCTTGTCGTTGGAGCCATCATATGGATGATATGGAAAATAAAGCAGGTAAAGCGTCCAGAAGTCAATCAGCCAACACAAACTCTCACACCAAACGCGATGCCACGAACAAGATTTACTTTGGAGCCTGAAACAATTATATAGCTTCTCAAACTCTCATGATGCTATAAACTCTAAATTTTATATTTTTAAGTTTATATAATATTGTATAACTATGTATTGTTTAAAAATTATATGTGTATTTATATATCCACAAAATGTTGTAATTATTTTAAAATTTTGTCTGTTGATTTTTAAAAAAAAACACATAACGCATTGCAAATCAAATCAATCATTGCTCATAGATTCATTCTTGAATAACGTAATTCAAGCCGGGCAGAATGTTAAGTTTAACAAACCTAACATATTTTAGCTCGCTTGTAGTTACACTTATGCAGCAAATAAATATTGTAAATATTAAATACATTGTTTACGTTTATAAGTTCAATAGCTTCACATATTGTATTTATGCTTATGCAGTAATATGTGAAATTTAAATTATTATTTTAGTTATCAATAATTGTAAATATTATTATGCTTAGTAAGTAATTCTATACTATATAAGGTAACAATATTGATAATAAAACTCGAGAGCGAAAACAATCGTCTTTCCTTCAAAAACAAAATTTGGTTATTGGTAGATGTGCCTTTTAACCACTGTAGCAATAAATAAAAATTATTTACTTACTTGGCTAGCGGTTTATGTGCCTGCAAGCCTTTCGTCATAAATACCTGATTATTGGTTTATGTGCCTAATAGTCAGTGTAACGAAGTAAGAAAATACATTATTTGATACCACCTCAGATTACGTGGTATTACAAGTGTTTTTTGTAGTACTGGAAGATTTTCACCTAGTTTGATTTGACCGACAGACAAAATGTCAAAGAAACTTTCAGCTCCAAGCAAAAGGTCAACGCGCTTGGATTTAAAAAATTGCTCATCGGCGAGAGGTGTATTTGGTGGAACCTTCCACGACAATATATTGATTTCAGAACTTGGTTGATATGCGATGTGATTCATAATACCAAAGTTTAAAGCAAGTTTAAGATTTGAATGACGAGATGTGAGCGTCTGGTACTTTATATTGGTCAACGAACTACCAATACTGGAAACATGCAGGCGATGTTTATGTTTCGATAAACTAAGCTTCTTTGAAAACTCCTCCGTTATGAAGTTGACCTGAGAACATGAATCAAGTAAGGCTCTACCCACTTGATAACTTACCGATGAGTCCTTCACTAAAACCAATGCAGTGGCTAGAATTATTTCCTCGGTCGATAACATGTTAAGATGGGAATGGCTGGCAACGTTGTCGTTGGGCATAGCGGCGTGTTCTGTGTGTCGTGATGATCCCGCTCTCTTAATATTCGTTGGTAATTGCGAATGATGCAAGAGAGTGTGATGTGGCTTTGCGCAAACCTTACAGTTTTAGGCCCTTCACCTTTTCAAACCTTTAAATCACCTCCAGTACCTTAAAACAATGACAATTCTGTATTAGTTGTTCATTGCTACAACAAAATGAGCAAGAACTGCTGGATGTAAATGCAACAAATGCGTATTTTTTATTGAACGTCTAGGAGTTAAGATTATGAGGTTTACGTTGTGGTGATGATTGATTGCCGTTTCCACTGTCGAGTGATTCGAGAAACTGGTAATGCCTATTCAACAATTTTGAGCAATCCTCCCAACTGGGTAATGTGTCGAAGTTAAGCGATTCATTCCATTTCCTACGTGTAATTGCGTCCGTTTTTTGCATGACTAGCGAAATAAGTAGAGCCTCCATATTTGTTTCTCTGTACCTAGCGAACAGAGTGAACCACACAAAGCGGATACATTGTTTACCAGACTACGGAGTTGTTGGCTTGACTATGTTGGCGATATTTTCGGCGAAGATTAGGCTATTATTATCATAGCACGATTTGAGTCTACCCAGAGTTTTTGGATAGTTTTCATGTGAAATAAGAAATGCCTGTAATGTCTCTAGAGCTTGACTAGAGCTTGATCAGTAAATGGTTAAATTTCTCAATATTTCTGAGATATAATTCGCGATCTATGATTTGAAGAAACGAATTAATAAAGTTGTTATAGTCAGAGTACTTACCACTGAATGTAGGTGATTTTAACAGTGGTAATTTTTTAGTTGAGGTGAGAATTATTGCTGTTGCATCTAGCACTGATGCATTGTGGGCCTCTTCCTGCAGTTGAGACATTATTAATATTTTTGGGGAAACGTATTGGTCCTCTAGTTCAGCTCTAGACGTATCAGTTGCATCTAATTTCGCGATCGAAGTCTGAAATGTTAGAATTTGTTCAAAATATGATTCAAAAATACCTAGTCGACATTTCAGCTCCGGTTGTGAAAGCGAATTGCTCTTTCCTTTGTACGAAAGCTTTGATCCTTGAAATGCTCGATTTCGTCGAGGCTCGCTGTTGTTTTAGTTCTGACAGTTCTGCCGTGGTGATTGGATTTGCCGTTGCCATTGAAACGGTTGTAGATACGAAAAACGAAAAAAACGAAAGTATTTGACGAAGTGGAAGGGTCACAATAGCAGCAGCGAACTTCCCGAAAAATGTTTAACTGTTATTGTGGTAACTGTTGTCACACGTGACGTTGACGAATTCACGACTATCAATTAGAACTAATTAGAACAAATGTTGGCTTGATAGAGCGACTCGCACACGAACCGTAAAGTTATATTGTTGTTGTTGTTGTTGTAATTGTCGAACGCGACCTTGATGCGGATACGAAGTTCTATTTGGAGGTTAGCGGAACCTAAGCGATGAACCAAAAAAATGCACAATAGTATATACATACTGTTGGGGCCTCAAGAGTTTTTGAAACCACTAACGACAACAAAACTAGGACACAAAACGAAGTTTTTAAAGAAAGACCGACTCGTTTGAACTTTTACAAGAGACTAATTTTATTTTTAATTTCATAGTATTTTATAATAAAAAAGGGTTGCCAACTGCAACCAAAAAATAAATAAAAAAATATTCCAAATTAATAATAGAAAAATATAAAGCCAATCACGAACATTCTCCCCCCATTGAAATGGTCGCGTTCCAAGAGAGACATATTTAAAGGCAAGATACAGAGCTTCGTGACAGTGCGTCTAAAAACACCATGTATTGTGCGCACTACCGCTACACGAATGACACCATCAGGACCAGATATGACTTCAATAACTCTACCGAGCGGCCAGCGAAATGGTAGGAGATTGTCATCCTTTAAAAGAACTATTGCACCAAGTGATATATTTGGAGTCGGTCTTCGCCTTTTTGATCGCTCTTGTAGCTGTGTAAGATATTCGGTACTCCAGCGTTTCCAAAAAATTTGTTGAATATATGAAATGCGCTGCCAGCGATCAAGCCGGTTAACATTCAAGACCGTAGTGTCAGGCTCAATGATTGATGTTAACGGGGCACCGATTAGAAAGTGAGCAGGTGTGAGAACATCAAGATCTTCCGGACATTCTGAAAGCGGGCAGAGTGGACGAAAGTTGATAATAGCAGCAATTTGGCAAACCAAAGTGCGTAGTTCATCGAAGTCCAAAACTGCTAAGCCAACCGCTCGACAAAAGTGATATTTGGCTGTTTTTACGGCAGCTTCCCAGAGGCCGCCGAAATGTGGCGATCCAGGAGGTATGAATTTCCATTCGATGCTGTCACTGAGACATTAATGATGAAGCAGCTCATGATGTTTTTGAGTAAAGAAAAGTCTCCTGAGCTCAGCAAGCTGATTTTTGGCACCGCAAAAATTTTTAGCATTATCTGACCAAATGATTTTTGGTTTGCCACGAGTTGAAATAAAACGCTGTAATGCGGCTAGAAATGCTGATGTTGTTAAATCCTTGACCAATTCAAGATGGACAGCTTTGGTCGCGAAACAAATGAATAAACAAACATAGCATTTGATTGGAGACTTATTGCGAATTTCGGACTTGTAATAAAAAGGACCACAAAAGTCTGTGCCAGTAATGATGAAAGCACGATTAGCATGAACACGATCTTTTGGTAATTGTCCCATGATATGCCTTGCAGTTATTGGTTTCGCTCGGAAACATATAATACATTGGTTGATGACCTTGGATACTAGCTTTCTACCTCCTATTGGCCAATATTGAAGACGCATTGAAGCATTGATGAAAATGATTTATGATTGAAACAGTGAGCGGATGATGCTTAGGTAGTATAATTGGATGTTGTGCATTAAAGCAAGAATGGAGGTCCACATTGCCAAAGTGATGAAGTTAAAAGTTCGTCTGGAGTCGCTCCCTTAGATAGGATGTCTGCGGGATTTAAATCAGTGGGAACATGATGCCATGTCATCCATTTAGTCAAATGTTGAATTTTGCTCACTCGATTGGCCACGAATACATTGAAGGTAGACGGTTCAGATCGGATCCAGGATAACACTATAGATGAGTCAGACCAACAGTGAATTTCAGCGTTAAATATATTGAGACTTGAAATTTGGTGAATTAGTTGAGCTAATAAAGCTGCGGCACATGATTCTAATTTTGGTACTGTCAATGTTTTTAATGGTGCTACTCGAGACTTTGAACAAAGCAAATTGGCAGACGCAGAACTTCCGTGCTTCGAAACAACATAGATGCAAACGCCATATGCGTTCAAACTAGCATCACAAAAGGCATGTAATTCGAGTGATGCATGAGAGATTGAAACACAACGAGGAAATTCTAGTCTTTGAATTATATGGAGACGATTGTAGAGGTCAGTCCATGCAGTGTGGAGTTGGTTCGGAAGGCTTTCGTCCCAGTCGCAAATATCCGCAGTTACTGCAATAGGAAAAGATCAAAAACGAATGAGTAAGTCAATGAGATTTGGTTGAATTGTAGGACCCGACATTAATATATCATTTAAAGAGTATCCCGTGGAAGTGGCTGCTGACCCATCAAATACAACACGGAGTTTTGTGGATGAACTTGATTCTTTGATGACGCAATGATGTGGCAAAAAATACTTGGGACTAGTTAATTCTTCATCAGTTAATGGTGACATGTGATTAAGCTGCAGATACTCTTTCATAAATGCACTATATTGTGTCTTTAGATCAGTGTTTCGTTGTAGTTTGCGTTCCAGATTATAAAAACGACGTGCAGCTTGTTGATATGAGTCACCAAGTAGCTGAATATTTAATTTCAATGGTAAGCGAACTGAGTACTCACCAGTTACCAATCGAGAAAAGTGTGCTTGGAAATGGGCTTGACAATCTAAATGCTCTTTCGTAATTTTGATTACAGGATCAAAACAACTTTCTAGCTCCCAAAATTTTCTTACTTGTTGATCCAAGGAGTGATACCGATCATCCGGAATTGATGACTTTTTAAATGTGGCTAGTGATGATATTGAAGAATGCTGGTAACCTCCAGAAACTACCCAACCAAAAAGCGTTTTTTGTAATACTGGTAATTGAGGCGCTAAACGGATTTGACCTATACATAATAGATCGAAAAGAGAGCTGCACCAATAAGAATATCAATACGTTGTGATTTATAGAATGCTGGATCAGCTAGTTGAAGATTTTTTGGAATATTCCAATCAGTTGTATTAACATTTGTGCTGGGATGTTGATTAGTAATTTTAGAAGTAATCACTGCGGTGATGCTACTGGTGTAATTGCCAAAACGTGATTTTATGGATAACTCAGTAGTGTTGTCAGCGACAAAATCTCTATCTGTAATACCTGATATTACTGTGGCACATTTTGTTGTTTTAAGTTGAAGTGTGTTGGCAAGTGATTTTGTAATAAAGTGTAATTGCGATGCTGAATCCAGAAGAGCACGGCATGGTATATAAGAGCCAGCACGATTTCTTATTAATATGATTGCAGTTGCAAGAAGCACACATTCACTTGAAGGATAATTTTGGGTTTGTTGCGACGCGTTTGTTGAAACTAAGTAAGCCTACACTTTAGATTTAGTATTTGACGTCGGATTAGCTATTGGTACATCATTAGATGAAGAAAAGGTACTGTCATTAATACGATCATTTAAATGCAAGAGCGTGTGGTGAGGTCTTGAGCAAATACGACAAAACGAAGACTTGCATTGTTTTAATTGATGTCCCTTTTTTAGACACTTTAAACAAAGGCTAAGTTTTCTGGCTTTAGTTAGACGAAGTTTTGGAGAAAGATTTGTAAATTGACAACAGGAGTTAATGAAATGATCATCACTTTCACAAAATGTACATCCCTTTGAGTTTGTTGCTATGAACACTTTTCTGGCAATTGGATGGAGATTGATTTGCTTAGTTTTGTTATGTGCTGAAAATTTTGTGGCGTAATCAACATGCTCCAAAGTTTTACATCTTTTATCAAGAAAATCTGCCATTTGATCCCACGTAGGTATTGCATCAATTGAAGCCTTTTCTTCCCATTTTGCTTGAGATGCAGGATCTAGCCTTTGCGAAACAAGATGTACTATGAGACCATCAGCAATTTGTTCCTTGCTGCCCAGCGTGCTCAATGCATGTAGGTGTGAATTCATTTTATCACTAAGGCGTCGCAGATCAACAACGGCGTTTGGTTCAACACGTCGCAACCCAAATATTTCCTTTATGTGTGCCTGAAAGATTAACCTTTTGTTATCAAATCTTTTAGATAATAATAAAAGTGACTTAGCATAGTTAGCGTCACTGACTTCAAGTGACTTTATTGCATCTAGCGCTGAGCCCTTCAAACAAGATCTTAAGTGCTGAAGTTTTTCGAGATTGCTGAGTTCAATGCTTTCATCAACAATTGTTCCAAACATTGAAATGAAATGCGGCCAGTCCTTGATGTCACCACTGAAGGTCGGGAGTTGAAGTTCTGGCAGCCTTGAACGCGAGTATTTAACATTAATAGAAGGAGCCTCATCGTTCGATAGAAATCTACTAGTTCAATTTCTGATATTCGTTTGACGATGGGACTGCTCTATCATGATCGCGGATTTAATGTCAATATACTTCTGTTCAAAGTTATCTCGCACCTCACTTTCCAGTTCATGGAAGTCTTCCTGTTCGAGACTAGATTGAGCTGCGTCAAACTTAGTGTTGAGTTGTTGAAGAGAGTCGATGTAGAGTTGTAGTTGCACTTCATGGCAATTACTCAAAAATTCAGCAGACAACCTTTTTTCCAAATCCTTTAGTTGTGTTCCTAGACGTGAACATTTTAATTTTAAAAATGTTGATGCCTCTATCATATCTCCTTCCATTATTAATGTTCGTTAACAGATGCAAGTAATTGAGATCAACTACAAAAAATATAGATGATTCGCAGTCGAACCGTTTGAATGATTCGCACAACTGTTGTTTTTTTTTTGTTTTGTAAAAAATTGGTTGATGCGGCGCTGCCGACGCAAATGAAGTGCCGCAAACCAACTGTTCAAATAAACCCGCACAAAAATTCGCAACCGAATCGCGCGAGTTTTTTCTTTTTTGCAAAATGATGTAACCGAAACAAGTAAAAAATTGGTTGATGCGGCGCTGCCGACGCAGCTGTAATACCGCAAACCAAAACTGTAATGTTCAAATAAACGCACACAAAAATTCGCAACCGAATCGAGCAATTTTCAATACAATAAATGTTTTGAAAATATGAAAAAAAACATTGAAGTTTTGCACAAGTTTTTCCTCTTTTTTTTTTTTTATAAAGTGATGCAACCGAAACAAGTAAAAAATTGGTTGATGCGGCGCTGCAGACGCAGCTGTAATGCCGCAAACCAAAACTGTAATGTTCAAAGAAACGCACACAAAAATTCGCAACCGAATCGAGCAATTTTTAATACACTAAATGTTTTGAAAATATAAAAAAAAAACACTAAAGTGATCAACGTGATCACGTCGGGGTCACCAAAATGTTGGGACTTCAAGAGTTTTTGAAACCACTAACGACAACAAAACTAGGAACAAAACGAATTTTTTAAAGAAAGACCGACTCGTTTGAACTTTTACAAGAGACTAATTTTATTTTTAATTTCATAGTATTTTATAATAAAAAAGGATTGCCAACTGCAACCAAAAAATAAATAAAAGAAAATATTCCAAATTATTAATAAATTTTAATAGAAAAAT